CCTCTGCTTTTTTTCTATCCAGCCACTCTTCTATCCAATTTGCTAACTTATCCCCCACACCTATAGAGATTAATTTTTTCAAGCCTTTTACGTGGCACCTTGTCAAATGCTTTCTGAAAATCCAGATACACCAAATTTACACTCTTACCCTCATCTACATAAGCAGTAACCTTTTCAAAGAATGTCGAAAGATTCGTAAGTCAAGAATTTCCCTTAGTGAAACCATGTTGACCATCCAGTAAAATTCTAAACTTTCTTAAATGACATTGCAAAGCATCTTTTATCAGACTTTCTAAAACTTTTCCCACAACAGATACAAGACTAATGGGTCTATAATTACTGGGGCAATATTTATCACCTCCCTTGAAAAGAGGAGTTACATCAGCTAACTTCCAATCCTCTGGTACCGGCCCATTATTACACAAAATAGTAGCAAGTGGCTTAAGTATCCAATCTTTAACCTCCTTCAAAACCCTTGGAGAAATATTTTCTGGCACAAGAGCCTTATTGTTTTATAAACTTTCCAAGTTTTTCTTATCCAGCTCAGAATCAATGCAGTCATCTTGTTTGATCTTGTTTCCATTTATCAACTGTTCAAGATGTGGAATACTACTTAGATCTTTGTTAGTAAAAACAGAGGAAAAAGTAAAATTTAATAACTCAGCCATCTCATAATCATCAGATACAAGCCTTCCTTTATCATCCCTCAAGGGTCCTACCCCATCCTTATATTTTGTTTACCATTAATGTATTTAAAGAAATCCTTATTGTTAATTTTTACATATTCAGCCAACCTTTACTCATACATCCTTTACGATGTCATAATTTCCTGTTTGACAAACTTTCTTGATCTTCTGTAATCTTCTAAGTCTCCTGTCATAACAGTCAATTTAAATTTCTCAAATTTATTATGCTTTTCTTTAACTTTATCTCTTAACCTCTTTGTGAGCCAACCTGGTTTTTTACTTGCAGCTACCCTTTTCGTTCTATAAGAAATATGTTTATCTTCAATATTTAAAAATGTGTCTTTAAAAATTTTCCACATCTGATCAGTGTCTCCAAATAACTCATCTGCCCAATTCACAACAGATAATTCTTGTTGAATTCCTTCAAAATTTGCTTTTTGAAATTTGTAACCAAAATATCATTATTCCTTATATCCATATGCAGCAAAACGTTGAACCTAATAGAGCATGATCATTTGCACCCAGATGTTCCCCAATTCCCCCCTCTCAACCATTTCTGTATTTGAAGTTAACAATAAATTATAAAATAGCATTGTTTCTAGTTGGTTCCTTGAGTAACTGGTGAAGAAAGCCATCCTGAAAAGTTTCCAAAAACCTTTCTTCCTCATAGTTTGACTGTAGCATTTCTCAATCTATATGCCTGAAATTAAAATCACCCATAATTATGACCTCATTAACAACTGAAATCTTAATCTAATTATAAAGTTTCTCACTAATTTCATCAGTATCATTTGGTGGTCTGTAACAAATTCCCACTAAAAGCCTTCTCCCTTTATATCCACTAATAGAAACCCAAATGGATTCAATCTCCTTGTTATTATATTTGATATCCTCAACTTCAGCGAGATGTAACTTACATTTTACATATAAAACCACTCCCCCCTCTTTAGTACTTTATCCCTATTAAATAGTCTGTAACCCTGTATTTCAAAGAAACCTCTGTCTTCAAAATCACCTACGTTTAACCATGTTTCAGTTATTCCCATTATATCAAAATCCTCCATTCCTACCAATGTTCTAAAGTTATCTATTTTATTTCTTATACTTCTAGCATTACAATAGTAGCAATTAAGCTTATCATTATAACTACTTCTATACCAATTTCCTATGTTAAACTTTTCTCTGCCTCTTATTATTTTGCATTTAGTTTATGCTGGCCCTCACCACTGTCTTATCTTAATTTAAACTTCCCTTACAGCTGAGTTAATAGCTGTAGCATACAAGCCAGCTCCTACTCTATTTAAATGTAAAGCATCCATTCCAAAAAAGCTCCCATTTTCCACTGAACTGATCCCACAAGTCCAACCAGCCAATCTGCTCATCCATACATACTAACCTAACCCTAGCATTTAGCCCTAGTGAATGAAATGTTTTGTATTTCATTGTACCTTGACTCTAGACTTAAGCAGTTTGCTTTTGCTACTGAAAAGGTTTTGACGTTGTTGGTTTCAAACTAATAGGATGTTATTAAACTTTATTCTGCAGACCCAGATGAAAGTAGTCACATTTCCAAAGAATCTGTAGCCTCAGTTAGTAACAGCAACAACAGTTATGTTTGGGAGACATTCAAACAAATGGTATTAAAAAGGCAACTGAGAAACTAATGGTCCATGAAAAGATGGAATGTGAACAGCATTTATGTTCTCCAGAGTCAGTGCTAGAATCATTGTCATCTCCTTTTGAATGGTGGTTGTTAGATATACATGACTGTTTCCATTTAAGTTTAGTGCCATTGTTACGATTTAGATAATTAATACAGCACAAGTCTTAAATTTAGATATTTTGAGACACAACAGTTTATCACATGTTTGTCTATATAACTTTTGTGAATCATATGTTGTGTAGTTAAATAGTTATGAATTGGTGATTGTTATATTATTGCATCATGTTACTCTGTCAGGGTATAAATATGAATTGAAAATTTAGTTGATTAGTGTGTACTAGACTTTGTGATTGTGAGTTTAGGGATATAGTGTAAAGTAGTGATTTTTAAAGTCAAATTATCACAGATTGAATGGTAATAACAGAGTAGAAAAGAATAATTTGTCTTTTCAAATTGAGTTATGAAGTAATTGAACCAGCTTGTATGGACTTTGACAAAAATGATAAATATTTAAAGCTCTGGATACAACTGTGATAACCAATAATGTAAAAACATTTGTATGTACATTTGACTTGTATTAATATATCATTTTAAAACAAAGAGGACTGTGTGCTGTTTGTTTATTGTTGAAATTTATCACCAACATTTACAGACATCTACTGTAAAGAATCTGACCCATACAGAAAACCTGATAGTGGGCAGAGAATTCACACACCTACAAGTTCATAACATTGGCCAAAGTGGGAAAAATATATTTACAAGTATTAGCAACCTCAGTTCCAAATGAGAAAATCTTTTCAAAAATAGGCTTAGTTCTTATTCAGTGTCCAACCAACTTGAAGCTGAACTCTGCTGTATAGTTCATATGTCTCAGTCACAATCTTCAAGTTTCTTATATATAGTTCACTAAGTATAGAAAATGCTTTCTTAATGCTGACACATCTGTATATTTCAAGTTATTACAAACTATGTAAACAGTTCGAAATTGTTCACTAATATTTGTTTAAGCTATGTTGGGACTGTTACGACAGCAGAAGTCACGTGACGCTAGTAACATGTCATGATATTCTAGAAGGATCATGTCTGTTTGTGGCAACTCTGGTCTTTTCTATGCACCCTCTATTCTTGTAAAGAAGTGCGCCAGATAAAGCTAAATTAATTAATCGGAATTGGGATTGCAGACAGACAGAGACAAACAATTGAGTCAAGCGTGGTAGTAAAGTGCGTGAATCGTGGTGAATTATAGCGTGTGTTTAAGTTAAAGTGACTGTCGAAATTAAGTGTATTGCAAAGTTGTATTGAGAAAGAATAAACTAGTTTCATTAAAGAAAGTACTTGTATCACTAAAGTTTCATCCGAAAGAAATTATACGGGAAATTAATAAAGACCAGAGATGTAACAGGACTTTTAAACAAGTTTAAATGTTCAGATTCAACTTCAATGACAGAGTGTCCAAAACAATGACTTGTTTTTATTTTACTAGTCTTGCTTTACACTCAATACCGTGTTCATGAAATTCTTGAATATTTTACATATTTATTGTATTTAGTACTGTAATATGTGATTTGTTCTGAGTTATGATACCAGCTTTTTTTCATAAGTTTATTTTAAAGATGTTTGTAAAGTTATCATTTTATAAAAAATTAGTTTCATTTGATTATCTTTATTAAAAACCATCAGAACAATATCACATCTTTATTGCAAAATAAAATACAAATGAAAAGTGTTTCAAAATAATACCTTTTGCATTAGAGATTAACTGATAGTATCTAGTGTTGACATAATAGTAAAAAATAATAAATTTAGTTATAATAAGCCTATTCTGTTGAGTAACAGATTTCAGCCAAAGAAGGATGTGGATGATAAGGAAGATATAGTTATAGGTGATTCCTCGACAAGGTGTGTGGATAGAATAGTCTGTAGGGTAAATAAGGAGAAAAGAATCAGATTCTTCTACCCAGGGGCACAGGTGGAGGATATAACTGACAGAGCAGGAGATATAATAAAGGGGGCTAGCAGAGATGTAATTTTTGTAGTGCATGTAGGGTCTAATGATGTAGGGAAAGGTAGGTCAAAGGAGCTAATTAATAAGTATAAGGGTTGATAAAGGCATTCAAAGAAAAAGGACATAACTTAATTTTGCCAGGAACACTACCCAGAATTAACTGTGGAGATGAAGTTATAAGTAAGCTGTTCATAGTTTGGCCTTGATGTTTTGAAGAACTGTCTTTGCAGTGTTGATTATTTGTTCACACAGTGCATTTAAAACAATAATAATCATCGACAGGTAGGAATATCTAGATGTAGATGTAATAGTTGTCACCTCATCAAATGTTTTCAGTACTTCCCTATAGTTCTGTGCTTTTTTACATTCAAGTTTTAAAACATTATTTACAGACAAATCATAAGCAAAGATGTTTTGAAATAGTTTCAGCTGCAGAAGACAAATAACCCCACAAGTAACTAATTATACACTTCCAGATCTAGATGTAGACTTAAAATTATACTAATAGATAACAATACTGTAACATGTAAATATTTATTAGTACAGACACTCTTCATGCTCTTAACTATAGTATATGACAAGATAAAGTAACAGGCTTACATCATCAAACTGATCAGATGACAAAAATCCAGCATTAATAAATGTACATCACATATAAACAAACCATCTAAACGTCACGTTAGTGTAGCCTATATAATGTGTTAAGTTTAGTATGCTCTAATCCCTTATAGTCAAGGCCCACAAAAAGACACACATTTGGCATAAAGAAGGTGTTTGGGTGCCTCACGAACTCTCCAATGATCCTTGTTTCCAGCATTTAAACATTGCTTCGTCTCTTCTGGCGCATGAACTATTTTTGGACAGAATTGTCACCGGTGATGAAAAATGGATTCTCTATGCAAATATTAAATGCCAAAAACCACTTCTGACCCCAAAATCTGGACTCCATCTGCAGAAAGTGATGCTTTGCATTTGGAGAGACATCAAAATCCAGCTTTTATAACACTGAATTTGAATACAATGTAAAAATAATTGTATTCACTTAACAAATAAAGAGACAATAACTTCTTATTTATGTAAAGAAATATTATTAGATACGAAGTGGTCTTAACAAAAAAATACTGTTGTCAAAGTAATATTCTATGACATTTCAGAAAGGTAATGGTGATGTCATTTGAAAATATGAATTCATTTGTCATCAATAAATATTTGATTCTTGCTGTGTTTGTATAATATGTAGCAGTTTTAGTTTGGTTATCTAGTAACAAGAGAATTTGAAAAGTTCTTCAGTTAAGTGTTAATGTAGAAAATTGAAATAAATTATGAAGACCTGAGAGTAACTGTTTAATTCTTTGTAATGAGCTAACAACATAATTAATATACAGTGGCATGTTAAACTGAATGAAATAAAAATATAAATTCAGATAGCCTCAAATATGCTCTTTAATAATAACTAAACTTAAATACTTTACATTATCTAATAAATGATGTTATAGGAAAAGGTTAATTAGTTTTAATAATACAAAGTATATGATAATCTGTATGATGTTAAGAAAAACGATGGTTAAAAAATTCAATTAAAGACAAAACAACTAAAATGACAAAACTTTCAAAACTTTAACAGGAGAATCATCAGGACTTTCAACTTTATGGTTGGTTGGAGTTTAATGTCACAAAATTACAAGGCTATCTACACCAAACTAGTGATAGTAATTATGGTAAAAAAAATTAATAAATGTAAAATACAGTTAAAAAGTCAACCAATAAAACAAGCCAATAGAATATATACCCAGAAACATAATTAAAAATTAGAAAGGTAAAACCATGACCAATCTGGACAACATCAAAGGTAAACATTGAGATAAAACATGTCTATAAATGTGCTACTGCTGGCAGTCATAGTAACAACATGATAGCAGAAGACAGGCAATTGTGGATAGTGTGTCAGAAAAGAGGTCACATTGTTCCTCAGAGTAAGAAAAAAACTACGGCCAATGTGTAGCTTAGACAAAACAACTTCCCTCCAATCCTTACCTTGACAAGTCTGAAGTCCACATAAAGGACAGGCAGGGTCATCATAATACTAGAGTAAAAAGATGTCGCTGCAGCAACTGAAGAGAAATTGAGGAAAAGAATGGACTAGTGTTTCTGTATATCCAAGAGAACTCAGTGAGAACTCACATTAAGGAATTCCAGGGTTGTCACAGACCTAAGCAAGTCAGTACAGATAATACAATTAGTGTACTGCTTAGCTTCTAGATGATCAAAGACAAAAACTAGTGAACAGTTGGTGTCATCTTTTGTTAGTACATTGTGTTGGTGCATGGCTACACAAAATATGTTTACAAAAGTACTCAAAGCCTGAGAATAAGCAACAAACACTGTGCTTTCTCCAGCCCAAAATTTGTTTCTTATGTTACTTTGAATAAAATACATTTGTACACAATTGTTGTTAGTTAACTTAGTATACTAGTTCAAACCTGATGTGAAAAGTATACTGGCTAACTGTCTAGCAATTTGGCTAATTAGCAGGAAAACTGGCTAAGAGGTTTCAGAAGCCAGCTCTAGCCTGACTTTCACATTCAGTAATGTGTAAAGACCAACACATTATTAGTTGTTTTTAATACATTTGTTTTAAGAGTGCACATAATCACCTTAATAATGTGAAGCCCATGCTTGAGGTACACAAGACTGTAAACATAGCAAGTATACATTTTATATTGAGAATAGTCTACTCAAATTGTTGATGTAAGAATTATATTGTCAAGATAAAGGCTGCTCCTATACAGCTACAAATATACACACATTTGAAATACTGAGTCCACACACACAGCAAGTTGTGGTGAATGGTACAGTAAAAAGGTTTCCACGGCTTTTATCAGTGACAGAAAAGGTAACAAGTATTGTATCTCATTTCAGTCACAATACTTAAAACATACAAAGGTTTAGAGAAATGCAGAAACACATGAATGTTCCACAATACAAGTTAAAAGAATCAGTGTTCTACTAGATGTAAATCAATGTATTATGTGATACAGAGATTGATAGAATAAAATCAAACCTCTTTGTGTCATTTTGGCATCTACTGATAAAGTTACAAGTTTGCAAACGGTGTAGTTAACTGAATTTTTGTAAGAAAACAGTCAAAACTTAAATGAAACTTTTCTAAAAGTCTTAGCAACCCATTCACAAAAATGTTTGACAGTGGACCTAACATGTTTCCATCAACTAGGGCCAGAAGTTATGTTTGAAGTATTTTACTCTCACTGTCAGATCTGTCTGCATTTGTAAACTGTGCTTCAACAAAGTGAGTGCAATACTATCAATTGTCTAGTTCAGATATTCCTCGTGTAGTTTTGTGTGAAATTCAGCAAACACACAAACAAATTATTATCTTGGAATACAACAACAAAAATTACAAGGAGTTTGTAATCAACAGTCTACATATGTCTGCCAAAATGAAATAACCATAAAAGATTTTTGTAAATAACAAATGGTGTTTTTATTGGTTATAAACATGTCCAACACATAAGTGCACATGGTTTAGATAACTGATATAAAAGCTATGATAAGATTGGAGGAGCCTCTGGTGGATTTCACAAACTTGGTACTAGAACAACAAGTCAAGAATGTAAATTTTCTATTCTGATTTTTCATATCTATATTGGTTATCTACATTCTGAAACTAATATTGGGGAAGATAGAATATCTGTAAGGGAGAATTCAGAGTGTGAAGACACGTCAAGTGAAGATGGAAAATTTATTTACATATTTCCTTTCCAAGTTAAAATATTAAAATTTTGATAATACATAAATTTGAATTCAACTTGCATATTGATATCAAGTTTATTTAGGGTGAAACAAGCCTAAATGTATCTGTAAAGAAAGATTGTTATATGCATGCTTTGACCCACCCATATGCTTAAAGCAGGCCTTGACAAATATTTTCAGATCTAGGAGACAGGTGTTAAGAAATGGGGACTATACTAGTGCCTCAATTATCTGCACCTTCATTATCCACATTTGTTTCTTGTCCCCAAATTTTCTCGAAATAATTATGGCATTAAAATTCTTGACAATAATTGAGATGTTTTGTAGAAATTGTCATTCAGAAATTAATATTGGTTGCAAAATTTCTGGTGTTGCATGATAT